AACCCGCATTTGCGTTCCACGGAGAGGAAGACCACGAGAACCTTCCACGGTTACTCTGACGGCAAGGAGACTCTAACCCATGATCCATCCACCACTGAGGATATTTCACGTCAGCACTGTTGTCGGTGCAAGCCGGATGCGGGATTCGTATCGACTGGGATTCGGCATGATATATTTAGGGTAGGTTTTCGAGACCTCAAATATGCTAATTCATAAGTGTAGATGATATTTTCAAATTACGAAATCAGACAAGAAACCGTACTTTATCTGAATAAACATGCCTTGAATTCGTATTTCGGACCTCCAAATTATAGAGGGTACCCGCAATCTAGGAAATATGGTCTGAATAGTTTGGTCATCAGCTCCAAAGCTTGGAACCCTTAATGTTAATTTTACTTTTCGCTTATTTCGCTATACCTATCTCGAGAATTTTTTAAGTGAATCAAATAATTTTATACACTCAATTATAAATATCGTTTATTAGCAGATAATTCCGCTAAAAAAACGTTTAGTAAATATTTATTATTTTTATTATTTTAATTTACAACGGTCAAAAAAATCTTGAATTGTAAGGTTTAAATTCTTTTGCCTCATTTCAAGGAATGTAATTTTAAATGGCAAAGTACAACATTTGTGCGAAAGCGGTCTAATAGTTCCTGAGAAATCAAATTCTAAATTATAATACTTTAAATAATAATTTTAAATTAATTTGTTAGCATTACATAAGAACTAAAGAATGTTCAACAGATATTTCGAACAACGTATCAAAAAAGTTGAAAATAAAGCTAATTTGAGTTTTTGTTCTATTTTGAAACTCGCTTGTATTTTCCAATGAGATAAATAAGAGGAAAGAAAATTTTTAAAAGTAAATGTTAAAATTACACAATTTCTATAACGGAATATAAATCTTTAACATTCAATGAAAATGACAAGAAATAAGGCGAAATTGATATTTTTTTTTAATGTAATTAAAAGCTTATGCTATCTATAATACGATAAAATATAAATTTAAAAAGTACAGTCAACTCATAACACAAAAATTTATCTTCACAAATTCATAAACCTAACTACCTCTATAATAAAATGTAACTCCGGCCACAAGTATTTACTAAATTTTTCGTTGGTGATAAATTCGTACAAATAATACTCAACGGCCAGAGAAAGAAGATACATATGGTGAGCTTGACATCCCCCTAAATGTAATGTAAAGCATATGGGGTGACACTTCCCAACGTTGTATCTCCTAACCATAACCATCTTTCCTTTCCGTATCGTTAAGTTCACGGGTTTGCCTTAAACTAAGCAGGGAAAAAATATATTGCCTCGTTGATATAGCCATGGTCCGGTCCATAGCAGTTAAGGGATTTAGTTTGATCTAGCCCTGTGGCCTGCAGTTTCATTGGATAGTTCCTGGGGGCTGTATCCAAACAGAAATTTACTCACTATACGATACAATCGTAGCTTTTCTGTATAATCTGTAAAATGTTGTTTTTCTTATACACATAAAGACAATAAAACATTTTAATGATAGCAATATGAAGAAATATTGCCACCGTCATGTTAAATTTAATATTTTAATGAACATGTTTATTATTAATGGTTAAATATGAAGGTTTTTTTTATCAACGAAAATAACAAAAAACCATTAATTTGAGTGTCAGAGCACTGTAAGAAATTAAGGGTCAAACTACGGCATAAATTACCGGCATCATTCTTAAAATCCATTTTACCGTAAAATCCATTTATACCGTAAAATATTACACGCAATTTTTACAGTAATAATAATTAACTAGAATGATTAAGTGATTTTACTATAAGTATAACTGTAAAAATTACGGTTTTTTAAATTTTTTTGTTCTTTAAAATTGATTTTACAAAGAAAAGAAAACCGGCGCCGTGAGCTCCGGTATCTTTTACCATAACCTGAATAAGAATTTTATACAATGTACCAGAAAATGGTTAATATTGTAATCAATAATGTCTAACAAATACGAAATATTTAAACTTCGACTGCAAATAATTACATAAATATTTAAAAGTGTATATTTAATGTTCTTGTAAAATTATTTATTTAGCTTTGGCTTGCTGAGAAATGACATAAGAAGTAAATCCGTTGCATTATGTTTTCTCTATGATCATTTGTCTTTCATTTATATTGATTGACAAATTAAACAGCATATTTGCATTAAATCACATTTCAGAGAGATGAAAGGATTTAAACTGCGTTCAAGCAATTTATCAAAACTGTTTTTTTATTTTTAAAACTCACACAGATATAACAACTTTCTAGTAAATATTTAACTTTCTTTCCTTGTGGAAATAAATTCCCCTCAGAATATCAATTCGAATTCTGAGATTAATTAACGCTGCGTTTCATTTACTTTTAATCTCTCAGTAATCGAAGGAAATTTGCAACGGCGTGAGTAATTTCTCTCGGTTATTATTTGAAAAATTCTCGGATAAAAGAAGAACCTTTGGTGACACCGTTGGAAAAATTAGAAAGACTGTCAATATTTGGCGAAGCTGCGAGTAAGCAAGAATAAAAATTGAGATCGATCAAATGAGAGAAAGCGGTCAATCTATAGGATCATTTATCATCATCATAGTAAACAGCTACAGCCTATGGATTTTTCCCGCCACTTTTTTCTTCATTACCTTTTTTTTGTTCCAAGGATTTATTTTTGCTCTATCAGATAATATCAATGTTTTGACGCAATAAGCGAAACCTATATTATTGCAGAATAAAATTAATGGTTATTTAATTTTTAATTGAAATTTCGTTTTTAAAATAAATAGAATTGGGAAATTGTATAGTTATATGATTTTTCAATTCAATTATAGATATGTGGTTATATCAATTCATGCTCTTCAAAATAAATAGAAACGCAAAATGGTATTTGTGATTTTTCAGTAAAGTAATAGATATGTTATTTTCAGAATTTCAAAGCTATTCAATCGAAACACAAAATGATGTAAGGTTATACATTTTCAATAAATGTTTGAATTGATGGCCTTATTTATTCTTGATTTTCAAAATGAATATAAACTTAAAATGGTATAAATATACGATTTTTCAATTAATTTGTATATATGAGGTTTCATTTATTTCTGCTTATTGAAAAAAAATAGAACAGCAAAATGTCATAGAAAAATGATTCTGTATTGCATTTATCGGTATGTGGTTTAGTACTTTCATGATTTTCAAAATAAATAGAAACGCAAATGGAAAGAGGTATATAATACTTAAATAAATTTGTAGATATGTGGTTTAATCAAATCAAGCTTTTAAAAATATACAGATATTTGAAATGGTATAGGTAAATAATTTTTTAATAAATTTGTGTACATGTGGTTTATTAATTTCCTGATTTTTAGAATAAATAGAAACACAAAATGGTATATGTTTATGATTTTTCAATACGTTTGCAGATATGTGGTTTCCACTACCACTAACATATTTTAAAAAACAATAAAAAAATATTGGTCTTTTCTCAATCGCCAAATACTTTTCGTATTTTATTGCAGATTTTTTAATAAAATTTTCTTTATTTGTGTAACTTAAATATTTCTAGCAATAGTAACAAAACTGCAAGCAAAATTTCTAGCAAAATGAAACTAAAAATGTATTTATTTAGAATGATATTGTACATTTAATAGAATATATGTCTATATAATATAGACATAAATTTAATAGAATATATGCCTATATATTTAAAATGTGTCTATATAATTGTTACAGTTGTTATTAAGACTAAATGTATTCCTTAAGAATATTATTACTCCAAAGGAAGTTCAATGTATTTTATTTTTAAAGTTATTTGGAATAAACAATGATTTCGTGACGTTGGTCACCGAATCAGTAAAATGCGATAAAGCAGATATTTAGAGGTCTATTTCAATACGATTTTCACAACAGATTTTAAAAGACGCGACATTAAGAAGATTTTGTTCAAATGCGCACGAGCAACTTGTCCAAAATAGGTGGTGCTCCTGGTGACATATGTGATTATGGATTGTTATGCAGTTCTTATTTTTTCTGTTATACTCGACCTCTTCCCCCAGTTTATATATAAGGTCACGTCAGGGAAGTAGGAACCATAATTAAGAAATTGCCCAGGAAGCAGTAAAGTGCTCATTAAATCCGAAATTCAGGTAAGTGTAAAACAATATGTAAGACAAAATAGGTAGGACACAAATAGAGTGTGGTGGAGATCTACGCTCTAATTTGGAGTGAAGAAGAATAAGTGTGTAAAGCATATAAAAGAAAAAGAAATCTTGGAAAGAAAACACGCGAATAACTTCCAGATAACCTTTAATGGGAAGTACAAATTTATACAGCTATCGTTGATCACTTCCAAAATTCAGTTTCATTTAACTTTCATCGATAAGCAAATAATACTTCAAATGTCTGTATTTTCTATTGGTTAAAAAACCTCTCTACGAATTTCTTATGACTTATAAATCAGCATTTAATGCCAACTATCTCTATGTTAAGTAAAGTTAATTTTGCGCAGAAAGATTATAAATAATTTTAAACATCGAATTGTATACTGTGCCATTTTTCTTTCAGTTTAAAAATATTTTCCATTAATTCTGATGTTGTTTAATTCTTCTAAAACTATTTCTTTGTTAAATCTGAGAAAAGAGAGTAACAAATTACTCACTAAAAGTGAAACTCAATATATTTATATCTTTGTATTAAAAAAAAAAAGGGTCTGCTTTTCTTGGTAAACCGGAATCTCGTTAAAGCGATATAAGTGGATCTTACTGTAGAAGCAAATCATTTATGAAATTGTAACATAAGAAGGAAAAATATCAATCATAATACTTATAAAAAAATACTGATAGCATATTGTATTTTCCTGATGATGATATGAAAAAAAACCGAGTTCTGTTAAATAATTGCTGTTATCTAAATAATTATTTTCAATAATCTAGTTGTGCATTCATCATTCTTCTAAAGGTAGTTTTAAATAAATTATGATACATCTCTCTTGTAGCGTCTGCTCAAGATCATTTGCAACCTTCATTTGCTGAACCCATTCCCAACATAACTGTGGCAGCTGGCAGGGAAGTAGTGTTGCCTTGTGTTGTCAACAGCCTGGATAATTTCAAGGTATGGATTCTTATGTGTTGTATTTTTTAACTTAAATAATCAATGCAATTGTGTTCAAAAACCGGTCATCCCCAACAAAATCAGAGAGATAAAAAATTCAATTCTTAAATATCAGCTTGATATACGGAGCATTTTTTTTAACTTGTTGATATTAAAATATGGCTGGTTACAAAATGTTATATTGCAATTACGCGATAACGTCACTTAATTCTTTTAATTAAAAAAAATAGAATTTTGATGTGACCAGTTTTTGACAAAACCTTCAAGCGAATGTTATTCATTGTTTTTAACAATCGAAAATGTTAATAATTTGACATTTAGAAATCAAATAAAGACTTTATTTAAGTCTTAGACAGCATATTTATGGATATATAGATATATGTGGATGTAGACTACATATTTAGGGGTATGTAGATATATGTGGGAGAAGACTACATATTTACGGGTATGTGGATTCAGAATGTTTTTGGGTTATAACTAGTGCTGGGTCACTTATATATTTTTTATGGAAAGAAAAAAAAACTTATACTGTAAAATCTTTTTCAATACGAGCAATTTTCTTTGGTTTGCTCCAACTTTTAGAAAATATGATTTTTTAACTGTTTGTGGTATGACTTTTAGAGTATTTTTCTTTGCACAGAATAAATGTTATAAACCACCACTAAAAAGAGATACTTCAACTTGCCCTGGCGTAGAGCTTTAATAGGTAAATTCACTAAAAGGTGACGCCTAAGACACTTGCTTCTCCTTTCGTTCTTTTATATTGGATTATTTTGATAACACATTTTTGTTACAATGCTCCAGCCATCAGCTTTTGAAAGAAAGTATCATATTATTTGTGGTCACTTCCTTTACATTTCATAGTTACTTTTATCTCTCGTTATTTTCTTGCTTATATCATCTAAAGAACTTCCCTCTGAATCACTCATTGTGTCATAACAAGTCTAAACTAAATTGCTAACAGCTAAGTTATTCGAGCAATATCATTAGCAACAACGACTGCCGTATAACGGTATATTTCGAGGTTTTTTTTTTCTGAGAACAGATCCAAGACACAACATGTTTTCGCACTGAATTGAGATTTCACAGCACAAAATATACTATTCCAAGTAAAATGGCATTCATTTCTTGTATCTACGTCAGCTAAACTTAAAAAAGTCAAGAAACTAACTTTTTTTAAAAAAGTGGATAAGACTGGTTTTCGGAGTTATCGGTGCAATTAAAGAGAACACCATTGAGAAATTTCTCAGAACATACATTTTTCATGTGAACATTATTTGTGATTGTGGAAGTTAAGAAGCATTGTTTGAAACTTATGTAAGAGATATTGAACTTTTTTTCAAACTTCAAAAAAGACCAATAATTTGAAAAGCAACTAAATAAAAAGACATGTGATGAGTCCTGCATAAATAGTTTTTCCCCAAATTCCAAGAGAAGTTGCAAAGTTCGCCAACATATGTCCTTGCTGAAGATAAACTTTTTGTTCAATAATTGGGGTGAATTTGGGAAGGAACTAACCATCATTTGCATTACAGGAAGAGGAAAACTATTAAACTTTCTACAGGTAAGAAAACGGCATGTGAATTCCATCCCAAGATCCGTCTAATGAAGATGATATTTTACGTCAACATTGTAGTCAGTGGGAACCGGGAGAAGAATTTGAATTGAGAACCCATTTCCGGAAATCAAACTTGGGTCATAGAGTGTCAATCAGGATATAACAGTATTTGAAAATCATAGTTATCAACTGATATTTTCATCTTCACAAAATATTTACATTTAATGTGTATTGTTGTCATCAGAGATCGAAACAACGTCGTATTTGACAAATCTATGTGTAATATCAGCAACCGGTGTCTTATGTAAACCAGAATCTGATATTATACCGATGTAATTGTACCGATGTCTCTGCTTCATGGTCCCATTAAGTGATTAATACAAAGAAAAATTATAAACTTTCTCTCTATATTTTTAATGCACGCATATTTTAAACCAAAAAAAATCTCGAGAAAAATTTAATTTTTTAAAAAAGTATTATTATTTTTTGACACGGTACAATAATTTTTATAATACATAAAATTAAGTATTGTATATTCCTATTAAATTAATTTCGATGTTTTTGAAATTTAAAGGGGCTTTTTTTGCACTGTGAAGGCGACTGTAATATTCTTCTTTAAAACATTTAAGTTAAGGTGTATCGAAACTTTTTATTAACATTTAAATTATTGACACTCTATTTTTACTACTTATAATTCTTAAAAAATAAAATAATAAATATTTAATGCGAAATACTTTTTACTCATAATTTACGTGCAAAATAGTAACAACAGTATATTACAACTTATTTATTTTAAGTATTTGTGAAATGTAATTTTCAAAAATTTTATATTCATTTTGAAGTTTTAATAGTTATCTTACAATAGTTATAAACGTGTGCATGGTAAAGTTTAAAAAAAATGTTTCCAATTAAGAAAGTGTACTTCAGTTTTCTATTTCCATTTCTTTATATCAAAAAGATGCATATATGTTATTAAGGAACATCCATAACACGCATTATTTAAACTTCGCAAAATAATTACGGGTAATGATTATGTAGGTCATATTAATCACACGAGCGTAAAATTGCGAAAGATATACTGATAGCAAGAGTTTTTACCAGGGAAAGATATTTATCTTGAAATCAAGTTGAAGTTAGTTACGCCTATTTGAAGGAATATCTTCAAAGAAGGTAAAGTGTTTTCTGTAGAACTAATTGGATATTTTGCTGCGACAAGGAATTTCTGACAAATTAATGAAATTTCTAAAACGCACTTTTTATAACAAAATATTTGATTTAAGTTAAATATGTTTTTAGTACTTCAAAATATGTTCTAAATATCTTTTGAAGAATATGAAAAACGTTGAACTAAACTACAAACTGACAATTTAATTAGTCAAGTTCAATATTTCAGAGCCTATTCAGTAAGCAAACATATTAAATCCTTATTTGATAAAATGCATTTAATGTTACTTAAAAAAAAATTATTATTAATCAAAATTCTCTATGTTTACTAATATACCTTAAAGTATAATCGTACGGAAACTAGAGTCATGCGGGATGTTTCATTCACTGAAAAGAAAATTGGGATCAAAACTACTAAAATATGGTAAAATATACTATATTTCTAGCTCTATGTGGCACCAAAGTCTCGATAATGGGTTTTGCAATGATTTTAATGATCTAAGAAAATGAGCAATAAAACTGGTTTTATGATATGCAATAAAATTTGATAAATGTAAATTTTAGTACTTTTATTGTGAGACTATGCATAAAATTTTATTTGGCTAAATTTGGTTTTCAGTTTGGTATTTTTACTTATAATGTTGTAATTATAATTGTTGATACTGATTTGAAAATTAGAATTTCTCGTAAACCATTACGGTTTAAAGGGAAAAATTATCAAATAAATGGTTTATATACCGCATATTTTGGTTTTATTATTCAGAATTATGTTCAATTTTACCTAAGATGTCATTACCTAGCATTACGGTAATTTTACCAAGTACTATTCACCAAAAAAATTTGTCTCAAAAAAAATTTTTTTTTTTATGAAATGAATGCTTGATGTTGAAAATGAGAGCATATGCGTTAGTTTTTCTTAAGCATTATTTAAAATAATAATTTTGACAACTATCAGTTTAAAAAAAATTATATAAATGACTGTAAATGATACATGAGTTATTATATTTTAATTGAAAAGATGAAAGTGCTTGCGTATTTAAAAGTATAAACATATAAATAAAAATCCTTATTTTCAAATTGTATAGGATTTCCTTTTTGATAAATACCAATAGAATTTTTAAGTAGGCAATCAGATGTTTCTATGATTTCTTTCTGTACTGTTATCTAGTTCAATTCCCAGAAATGTGCAAAATACATAGATGTAATAATTCTAAGAAACTATACATTACTTTATTAAAAAATCGTAACTGACCCCATGGCTGTTTTAGATATTCAACTTTAGGTAATAGTTTGTTTTGTTGTCCAAAATTCAAAAGTCTTGGCATTGCAAAAGGGTGTAAAGAATGCACATGAAGAGAAAGGCAAGTATGATGGAGAAAAAAAGAACTCAGTTCTGATAGTTTGTCAAAGAAACGCTAAACTAGGAGCAGAAAATACCATGCGGGTCGCTATGCTGGCCATAGGAATGCAAATACAAAGTTGAAATTTAAAGCACTGAAAGAGGCACTTTTGTTCTTAAAATTACATTCCTTTTAGAAACTCTTAATTTTTAACTCCAGAAATAACTCGAATTTTAAATTTTAATAATACCTCTAACTAATACTTAACTTTAAATGTTTTCCAATGTGTTTCTAAGTTTTTAAGTGTATTTTAGATAATAATTAGATAACCATTACTGTAGAAATATTCATTAATCCCTTTTAGAGCTTTACGTGCTTAAGCTGATCTCAAAAAAGAAAAAAAAGAGAGGGAAAGAGATCTTAGATGTTACCAAATATAAATCGAAACATTTACTTAGAAATTTTTAAAAATATATGAATCGAATTCATGAGATTTGAACTGTTATCCACTAACAGAATTTTCACTCTGAAATTACGATAAAATAACCAGCAACAGTCTATTCATCCAATTAACCGTTAAGTTTTCCTTAAAGATCATTTTTAATTTGATGGTTATGAAACTGTTTACAACTAATATAGTTATAAGACCATGAAAAAAAGTTAGAACTAAGCGACTTTTAATCATTTACAACAAGCATGGTTTCGAAACTGTTAAAAAAGAAATTTAATTGAACATTAGGTGAAGGGTTTTCGGTTGGTAATGGTCATTGAAGTGTGCAGGACAATGGAGACTCTTCACGTGTTGAAGGGATTAGAGAAAATATCGGGCTCAGCGCTGGGACCCCCATTCTGTCGGTCATAAGAAAGATAGATTAGCCCTCTCGGCTACAATATGCACCCAACTGTCAAAAACTAAGTTGTTTCATTAGGTGGACTTA